AGCTCTACTAGAAAGAGGTACCCACCAATATCGGCTGAGTAGAACACATTTGCTAACTTACCTAGCTGAGCCAACTTGGCTCCATTGTGAGAAGAAGGTACAGGTATGCTTTAATAATCCCCTTGACTTTCCCAAAGTCGGGACAGTCTCTGGGTGTTAAGACACGTTTCTTCAGTAAAGGACAAGGGGAAGTCCAATTTGAAAAACATGGCTCAGCAACATACTGCACTCCTGCATCTAACTGCAGCTTCTTCTCTTCAGACACTCGATAGAATTGCTTGTTGTCTCCGATGTTATATTCAATTAAATGTGTTCGGGTTGGGGTGTCCAAAAACAACACGGGAGACACCAACTCATCACATTCGTCTGACTCTAAATAAGCAGCCAAATCACCAAGACATTACAAAGTCTGAGAGGTTTCAATCGACTGCTCAAAATTTAATCAAAAGATATTGAAAACTCCTCATGTCACAGAGCGGCTGACAGGTTATTATATATGTCCATGCACGTGTTACAAATGCACTGTCTGCATGTCAGAATATTGACCATCACCACAAATGTCCACTTTATGCTTAGTGTTTCAAGCGAGATTAACTGGGTTAAAAGTGCCACACGGTATGTTATATGTTGTGTATTTATTGAATGTTTGAGTGAAGGAGATGATTCTAAATATTGCTCCTAAATACTATGGAATATCTTTGTTTTAGTTTTCACTGTATGATGTGTGGCTCTTTACCGCTTGTACTTGTGAATGTGTGTGACGTAGTAAATAGAAGAAGAAGAAGATCTGTTGGTCCAAAATAGTGCTGACGAACTGCAATTTAGCAATGACGCAAGCGCGGTTCAAATAACGATTGACAGACTGGTTGACGGTCTTAAAATAGCAGTGATGAACTGTAATTTAGCGATGATAGATGTGCAGTTAAAATAACAATGTCAGAGTGACAGACAGACGATCACAGTTTTTGGTTGGCTTGAAATACTGACTGAACTGATGATGATGTACAGGTGGCCCGGCTGCTGGCAAATGCCAAATGAGGGACCGGTAAAATTTACTGACGTGCCAACCTCTCTTAATTTGTCCGTTTGAGTACAGCCATGAACAGCAGAGGTAGCAAAAGTACTAGGATTCTGCACCAAAGCAAAAGAACAAATATTTGCGTAAAAAAAAAAAAGAAGATTGGTTAAAATGAAATTGCTGATTAAAACTTGACCCTAGGAAAAAAAAACCCCAATACAGATCAATTTTATACAAATTTTTATATCTTGTCATTAGTGTTGTAGTTCTTAAGAACTGTCTTGGTCTTGAAACCACTTTTAAAGGGTCTCGGTCTGGTCTCGGAGTCAAAGTCAAAGGTCTCGGACAGGGCGAACTCAGGAATTCTGATCAAGACCAGTCAAGACCATACCATTACAACTGTGATCCGTGAGAAACGCAAAATGCAGGTGCTGTGCGCCCTTCCCGGTGTCGATTAGAAAGCCGTACCCCCAGCATGTCAAAAACAACATATTGCGAACACAGTGAAAGATTTACCCTATGCTTGGCACAATAAATAAAAAAAATTATAACTCCCCTACATCTTAATCAATCAAGATCTTAGCTGTGGTTGATCTCTCTCTCTTATTTACATTTTACTGTCTTTTACTGATCTTCTCTCTATTTACTTATCTTTTTAATCGCAGGTTGTCGTCCGTGGAGGTTGAAAACGGCAACGTCTTTATGTTAACAAAGTAGAAAATGTATGTTTTCAAAAATAGAGAGTAAAAGCAAAACATCAGAAAAATGAACTTACGAGCTATATATGTAGAGTACAACAGAATTGTTCTTCAATATTAGCCACCACTGACAAAGATGGCTGCGGCTGCCACAACACTCTGCTTCCAGGAATCCTCACCTTGAGGTATTACCCGTGAAGAGATGTTGTAACCTTGATTGTGGACATTTACTTCTGGAACGCTTGAAACCATTGAGAACATCACTTGCTCCCTTTGTTCAAGGTGGCCTTTCACAGTGAGAACATACCGTACTGCGACACAGCAGAAACTATTATTGGAGAGTTTTCGGAATCCGTGTGATCATGTGACTGCACAGACGGAAGGTGGAAGCCGACCTGAGTGCAGTGCTGAGCTGTCAAGGAGATGAAGGATGAGAGCGCGTCCAGGTGGCACTTGCAAGCAGCCGCCAGACGAAGCCTGAGGACCTGGGCGAGGTTTACGCTCCACTGTTTTACTGCACTACAGCCACTCCTTTTTGCACTTTTACAGGAGTAATCAGATTTTCTTCGTTCGTTTACTCTAAGTCCAATGGTGTCACCTGTTTTTGGTTTTGCTGACCAATACCGGTATTCGCATGTGTTGATGTACTGTATGTGTGTGTGGCCTGCGCGGTGGCTGACCGAAGAGAGAGTGACAATATTACAATCTGTTATATTTGATTTACAACAAGCCTCAGGATTAATTCCAATCAAAACATATACAGTATTAGCTCATGATGTTGTTTTGAATTATTGAGACATGGATCTTTCTGTTTTTGTTTTTTTGTATTTTGTATTTTTTTATGTCCTCACATTGACTGCAGATCATCTGAACAGCCTAAACGGCCGCAAGAAGCATTTGAAGAGATGGCTGATACAAAAATTAATATGAAAATATTACTTACTTTTAAGTGAGAATTCTGTTAATATACATCAACCTTGGCGAAAATAAATTTTATTTGTAAGTGTGTGCTTATCACTGTTAAGCATTTTACCGAGAAAAAATAAGTAAATCAAGTGGGCAGTGTGTGTGTGTGTGTGTGTGTGTGTGTGTGTGTGTGTGTGTGTGGTGTGGGGATCACTCAAGTAATCGATAGATAATCAATTATAAAAAGATTTGTTTGTGACAGCCTTGAAATTCTCATGAATCCTGCTTAAAAATTATGCTCTTTACCATATCTTCGATGAATTATCACAGCCTTCACACATTCGGCAACATGAAGCTTTTCTACATTATGCGTTTTTATACTGCCCTTGGCACAATCACAGTACAGTAAGTGAGGGGGGACATTTTACATTGGGGTTGACAATTATAGAGCATTTTGAACCCATTTCATAAAGAAAACTATAGAAGCCACAAACCCTTTGGATCTGTAATATGAAGATTGTTTTTCATTTCATTTTATACTGCTGTAAACACCACCTTGAGCCAGTTGACCCATTCCAAGAGATGCGTCAACACGTCCACTGTATTGAATATGGTGATGGTATTAGCTGTAAAATCGACAAATTATAAAGTATACTGTATATTCATATAAATGAGTTAGAATGTCATCATAAAAATAAAAAAACAAAACAATTGTTTATCATTAATCTCATGAGTTCTGCCTTAATGATACATCTCCAAGGAGTAAGTGTACTGGGCATCTTCACAAATCATTTCACTCTGCCACATTTGCACAGGTACGGCGGAGCAGGTGGGAATTTCACACATGGAAAAAAGAAACAACAGAGGTGGAAAGTGGTCTCCAAGTGTCCACTTCACAGATCTGTGAACTCCCTGGCCAACTTTTCCTCATCCACCCGTGGACATCTTCCTGCAGTTCCTTATAAACAGGAGTGCACATAAAAAATAAAAAATAAATGGTGTGGCGGTCAAATAGGTACCAGAGGTTGTTGTTTGGTGCTCTTTTTTTTTTTTTTTTTCTGACCCACGGACCTTTTGGATGAACTTAAAAACATACAGCACATCTGGGCAACCTTTATCGTGAAAATGTTCAACAAAACATTCAAATCATTTTGAACACAACTGAGTTACATGGCACGGTAGAAAAATGAATTGCCCACCCCTGACTTGCACGATCGGACCTTGTGATCAGCGAGCTTACACACACAGCATATTTTTTGAGGCAACTGTCCTTTGTCCACTTTTTTATTTATTTTAGTTTTTGGCACTACGGATCACTTTCACATGAAGACATATTTTGATGGACTGTCAAAGCCGTGGCACAGCGATACGTAGATAACCGTCTCGCCGCCGGTCCTCCTGCAGACCTTCTCACGGCGAATTAAGCCGGGAGCAGGGAGCCTGTCTCGTCAAGCCAGCCGCCACAACGGTTGTTCATTGGCGACTGTGCAACACGCCCCGAGGGTCAACTTCTGAATCAAAGCGAAACGAAGAACACTTTACATGGATATGAAGGCCTTACTGAGCTTGTATTTTAAAGTTGGCACAACGAAGCAATCGTTGACTTGACTTTGAATTGAGGCTGGCCCGACTGTAGTCAAGCTAACTGACTGAGCTGAACTATGTTTTAAAGTTGAAAAGGAAGAAGAGTGTTCGATTACACATTTGTCATGAGGATTAAGGTTGAGGGTTTTAATTAATTATTTTAACAATAGTTTACTTCTTTTTAAACCACATGACAGTTATGGTCGCTGATGATGTAGTGTTTCCGATGTACAGTAATTACAATGTGAATGTTGTCTGTCTCGATGTGCCCTGTGATTGCTTTGCGAGCACGCCAAGGTGTATCCTGACTTTCGCCCAAGAGTCATAATTTCTTCATGGCAACCAACTGTATATACTACAGTACACTACATTACTCTTTGTCAAATATGCTCACTGCGCGAGGAGTAGATCAATCAACATTTATCGTCATTATCTCAGTTATCATAACTCCTCTATTTCAATCTATGAGCTGAAAATTCAGCAATGGTTCACTCGTCTCGCTTGTGCTGTTTCTGTTTACAGTGTGGACACTGTAGCAAAAGGAGTAAAGTTGAACATCAACAAGAGACCTATGCCCCTGTTGAACCTTGAGTATGGTGAAAACGTAACAGCCTGCTGTCTGTATTCAAATATGAGGTTACCTACTGTATAGCTGTTGAGAAGCATTTGTGCTTCACTAAGCTAGCTGCCTCATTCGGCCAAAATCAATCAACATCTTTCAGACGTGAAGCTGAAGAAATATGATGTTGTTTGCCATCTTATTATTCTTGTCACATCATTTGTTTCAAATCCGGTACTCTGAATGAGGCCATTTATTCAATGTTATCAGGAGAAAGACATTGTTTATTCATCAAACCAGTCAACTTTGGTCAATTAGCAACTTTAACATTTTCAGAATGCACATATGACAATGACAACGAAGAGTGTATGGTCTGTACGAAATAAATAGCACATTGCTCATTTACAGCTTGACTGAGAGAAAGGGTTAATCTTCATATTAAAATGGCACACAAATAGGTTGTGAAACTTGTGAACACACTAATTGCTCCAAAAAAAGTTCTCCTTTTTAAATAAAGCTTTTCATTTTTAATATGTACCTTCAAGAGCCTGTTATAGTTAAATAAATAGAATGCTTTCCATTTTTAACATGCACATCCAATTTGCCGCGGAAAAGTATTTACATTTCACTGATCTGACTAGTCCACCATTTTCTCCGCCTTTTTTTTAAAGTCCTCTAAACGCTTCTTTCTCACCACAAACTCTCAAACATACATAAATGTACAGTCACGCTTGCAGACATGCTGCACCTATTTACTATTAACACAATATCTAGTACCTATTCATAGTGATCAAAATGCTAGCGGTAAACATGGTAAACTATGTAGTGTTAAGAAAAAAAACAATCCAAACACCACATCTTAACCGGGATGATGGTTTTGTTCACAATTGATCATGCACTGTTTGAATTCACGCTGTTATTTGGTTTGAAAGAGTGTCTACTTGTGAACAAGGAAAATAGTAATACAGTATCTCCTGTTGGGGGTAAGCCATCCTAATGAATGGTTTCTAACAATTAACAAGTCTTTTTGTCCCATGATTCTTCACTGTCCTACAAGTGGTTTAGCAATCTTGGACTAAGCGCCCAACGCGAGCGCTTTCTTCTGTCGGATCCGTGCTTGTGTACAAACGCCCGAGCGCCAGGCTTTAGGGAGAGATGCGCAGTTTGTTCTGTGTTGTTTTCCGTTGCTTTCTTTGTCGTTTCATGATGCAAAATAGGAGTTTTGCATGGAGTACAGGCGGTCGATTGGGTTCCCCACACGGGCCTGCATGGAGTTGACTTCTGATGATGCCATGAAGCAGTCACTTAGGCTGGTTAAAGACGTGTCGCTGTCTATGTCGTGGAATGCCGAATCGTTACCTGCGTGAAATAAAGTACAAAAATCTGTCACCTCGACGAAGCAGAGTGAAAAAAAAAAAAAACAGCAACTGCACACATCGATGTAATCTTGCGACCTATGGCAGCGCTGGGAAATTCTAATTACTAATCGTCACTTGGAGGAATTGTGTTTTTGTGTCATCACAATTGTGAAACCTGTTTCCTTGGAAATCATCAAAGCTCACTTTTTGCTGCCCTCGCTGGGACAATTGTGCTCTGTGAGGCCGCATGTAAACAAGGGGCATCCTCCTAAAAGATCTGGCTAATAGCAACTGTTTACGCCTTTCATAAAACCTCAACATGTTATTTCTCTAAAGGGAATAGTTAACTTTATTACACTCTGGATCTTAATGATAGTGCACAAAATGGGGACAGTGTTTTGAGACATATCTTTTAATGCCTTGCCAATATTGTTCTTTTCCCCAAACCGAAGGAGAGTGATGAGACCGGGGATTTAGGTTCTTACTATCAAGAAGAACTAAATGGAGGCAAATTATAAGGAAGTTATGAACTTGTGGAAATGGTCCCTCTGGGGTTTGTTGAGGACATCACTCCGAAAAGTGTTATTCCAGTAACATCCTGTGGATTAAAACTTGATTGACTGATATTTTCCCCCTCCTCTCATTTGCAGTTTAATGTCTTTGCAAAATCTGTGAGTAGTTGCGCTCACTTCCTGATGTGCTGGCAGACACGACCCCCGGTCTTTGTTTGCATTGCTCTCCGTCTCCTCAAAGCGCTCCACGCTGACTGACCACATGTTTTTAACCGCCAAGATCATCAGCAACGGGATGTCTCGAAACTCGGGGCGGAGATCTTGAAACCACATGATCCACAAAACACAAGCGCGTCTATATGTACGCTCGCGTTATCGCATGTGGGAGGAGAAGGTGCCCTTAGATCAGGTTGCTGTGGCTTGAAAATATGCTCCACGCTGGGGAGCTATGAGATTGATCAAGGGGGGGAAGACAAGTAAGTGGGGGTTCGCAAGTGACTGGATGCTCACCGTATGGGTTCATGTGGTCCCCGGGCATCTGTGGAGGGGTGAGCCCCTGTTGGAATGGGTCTGTGCTGTAGCCATTCTGATCCATGGAGACCAGCTGCTGCTGTGGCGGCGGCAGAGGTGTGAAGGAGCTCATCATCCCCTCCATTCGATTGGACATTACTTCTGCAACAAAGTGAGCATACGTGAGGGCAAGTTTGCACGATGTAACAGACAGACTTGTCGATAGGCTTGAACAGGAACAATTAATGTATTGATTCAAGATTCATCTCCTTGCAGGCTCCGTTGAATGAAATACAGTTCCCATATTTTGTTTTTTACAGCACGGATTGGAGTCCTTTTTTTTCTAATGAAATATTTAAATCCGTAAGAGGTTATTTATTTCACAACACTTTTCGTTTTTTAACATTTTCGTTTTAACTTCTTAGTGCACAAAATGGGGACAGTGTTTTGAGACATATCTTTTAATGCCTTGCCAATATTGTTCTTTTCCCCAAACCGAAGGAGAGTGATGAGACCGGGGATTTAGGTTCTTACTATCAAGAAGAACTAAATGGAGGCAAATTATAAGGAAGTTATGAACTTGTGGAAATGGTCCCTCTGGGGTTTGTTGAGGACATCACTCCGAAAAGTGTTATTCCAGTAACATCCTGTGGATTAAAACTTGATTGACTGATATTTTCCCCCTCCTCTCATTTGCAGTTTAATGTCTTTGCAAAATCTGTGAGTAGTTGCGCTCACTTCCTGATGTGCTGGCAGACACGACCCCCGGTCTTTGTTTGCATTGCTCTCCGTCTCCTCAAAGCGCTCCACGCTGACTGACCACATGTTTTTAACCGCCAAGATCATCAGCAACGGGATGTCTCGAAACTCGGGGCGGAGATCTTGAAACCACATGATCCACAAAACACAAGCGCGTCTATATGTACGCTCGCGTTATCGCATGTGGGAGGAGAAGGTGCCCTTAGATCAGGTTGCTGTGGCTTGAAAATATGCTCCACGCTGGGGAGCTATGAGATTGATCAAGGGGGGGAAGACAAGTAAGTGGGGGTTCGCAAGTGACTGGATGCTCACCATATGGGTTCATGTGGTCCCCGGGCATCTGTGGAGGGGGGAGCCCCTGTTGGAATGGGTCTGTGCTGTAGCCATTCTGATCCATGGAGACCAGCTGCTGCTGTGGCGGAGGCAGAGGTGTGAAGGAGCTCATCATCCCCTCCATTCGATTGGACATTACTTCTGCAACAAAGTGAGCATACGTGAGGGCAAGTTTGCACGATGTAACAGACAGACTTGTCGATAGGCTTGAACAGGAACAATTAATGTATTGATTCAAGATTCATCTCCTTGCAGGCTCCGTTGAATGAAATACAGTTCCCATATTTTGTTTTTTACAGCACGGATTGGAGTCCTTTTTTTTCTAATGAAATATTTAAATCCGTAAGAGGTTATTTATTTCACAACACTTTTCGTTTTTTAACATTTTCGTTTTAACTTCTTAGTATATATATGTGTGTGTGTGTGTGTGTGTGTGTGTGTGAGTGAGTGTGTGTGTGTGTGTGTGTGTGTGTGTGTGTGTGTGTGTGTGTGTGTGTGAAAAAAATGCAGTTCATGTGAGAGATAGCGACAAGCTCCAAATGCCTAACTGGTTTGCAAGCCTTTGTCAGTATTACCTTGGAAACCTCCTGAAACGCAATCGGCCGCGAACCTATAGCCAGTTTGTTTTGCAAACACTCTTCTAAGCAAAGTGACTGATGAAGACACAGCTCTGCAGGGGCTTTGATATTTTGATATATAGCAACATTTCAATTCCTTGGTGATACTTTGTGTGTTTTTGTTTACAGGTTTTATTATTATTAGTAGTATTATTATTATTTATTCTGGACATCATTTAACATCATATTTCTTTCTTGTGTGAATAAAAGCGAATTGCGAACAGAAAAAAAAAAGATCAGGAGGAAATCATTTCAGATTCAGTGCTTCAATGATATTTTAGTGATACTTTTAGTGCTTGTCTTTTATATGCTCATCACGGCTTGATGTTCATGTAAAACACATCCTGCATGTAATATCTCTGTCGTAAGGACACGATTAAAATGTAAAATATAAAGGAAAGTATATATTTATATATTTTTTTCTTCATTAGAAAGATTGTCATTTATATTGTAGTGTGTAAATTGTGTAGTGCAGTGTGACTTCGAAATGTCAATTTTTTGTAATAACAGTAAATATTACAATGTCATAATTATCATGGTTGACCATAATAGTAACACACTATCACTTATGCACGCTGCTGATTGTTTTTTTTTTTTTAACAATTGAAGAGAAGAATAAAATATTCTATATTTTTAAAAGCAAGGTTTGGGGAAAAAAAACAAAACAAGATTCTTGTTGACTCAAAATACAATGTGCAATGTGATAAAAGACAATAAACATGCAGCACTTGAGAAATGAAAGCTCTTGGTGTGCACTCAGTGGCTACCTTGCCCAAGTCTCTGGGAATTCTGTTGTTCTTGTTGTTGCTGCTGTCTTCTGGCCAACTTCTTCATCTAAACAAAAGAGTCCAAGTTGTGAGGAACTCCCAAAGCTAACATGCAATCTTTAATTTAGAAAGGATGCTTCACGCTCTTCACCCTCGCGTGAACTGCCTGAAATCTGTATCGGAGTGCATTTCATTGTCAAGTATCAAAGGATTTTACAAGATAGTCATCGGCCCGAGGGAGGGTGTAGACGTTTAGTGCATCAGTGTGCTAGATTTGCAACTTCAAGTGATATTTCTTTTCTTTTTTGCAGCCGTGAAAGGAATGCAGTGACAACTTTAAAACACATAGTTTGGGTGATTTATTCTCTGGGCTCTTTCTGTAAATTCAAGAGGGGAAAGGGCTGTTTGGTATATTTCTTCCCACCTTAGCTCTTTGGTTCTGGAACCACACCTGGACCACCCGAACACTGAGTCCCGTCTCTGCAGCCAACGTCTCCCTCACCTAAAGACAATGATTTTCAGCATCATGAACAACACGTGAACATACACCCTCATGGTGCAGCGTTTGCTTGGTTTTTGAAAGAATGATTCTTTTGATCTGTTGCCGACGGCCACTTGAAAGTTTTTGAGGCAGTGTGTCATTAGGTGCTTTTCTCCATTTATTACACCAGCTTAAGATTGTTAAACATGAGACTAAAAATGTACCAATTAGGCCAGAGACGATCAAAATGAATGAAGCTCATCGACACTAACGTCAATGTGATCGAAATCCATCCCCGCATTGAAGCTGCCTGACACATACCTTCCTGCAGGGTTTCGAGGAGACCTCAAAGGAGGCCTTGAAAGCTCGTCTCTGCTGAGTGGTCAAAATGGTCCGTGGTCTTTTGGGTCTCCTGGGATCCTTGCTGTCATCCCCTTTCCCCGGGCCTCCTATGCCTCCTTTCTCAGGCTTGATATCCAGTTCCTCATCGTCACTTTTTTCTGCACAAAGATTTGCATCATCAGTATGTGTTTGAACTAACGACACCCTTTTGTCAGTGACAGTCTAATGATGGATATAACATTGTTCTCCGCTCTTCAAGGAGATTAACACACCACAAATGCAAAATCAAAGGACGCGCATGTGTTTTGAATGTGGTTATCAACTGGTTTCAAAAGAAAACTGTCACATGCATAATTGCACTCGCAGAAGTCCACAGCGTGCGCTTGGAATGCACGGCGAAATATGTACATTTGTCACTGAAGTGGACACCGTGTCACTTCTAATATATTGCCCTCAGCTTAAACTGATTTGGACAAAATCAATCTCTGATAAGAAGACGATGTGAAAGTGTTTACAAAGGCAATGATCAAACATGTGGGGAATGCATCTTCTAAAATGAAGGATAAAAAAGAGAACTTGGTGAACTAAACTTAGTGCGATAGTTTTATTGTCAAGAGGAGGATAAAAGGAAAAAAAAATACTACAACATTGTCATGGAGAAAATGGTAATGACAATGTAGCATTTTGCCATAAAATGTAATCATTTTAAACCCCACTTTCAGTGGAATGACCCTAACCTAAATACGAGTCAATATTTTTTCAGGAAAGGCACACATGATGTCTTAGTGTCTGGTTCTGATCTGTAACTACATTTGTCCACTGCAAATATATATTGTGTCTACCACATACTGAGGTTAACCTCTGTTCATGTCAACATTTTCTCCATCCTGAAATTTGGAGACACACACAAAAGCCTGCGCGATGCTGTGGGACACGAGCGAACAAGGATGAGGCAGAGCAAATATTCCCACAAGTTGACAAAAGTTGACATAGGCACAGATGTATTTGACAAATTCCCCGCTTTTGTGCATGTTTAAATGTGAGCCAGATGGTAGTGAACAGTGAGACTTGGCAAAATGCCTTATTGTGTGAGGAGGCTATAGGCGAGGAACACTCGAGCCGATAAGAGTGGAGATGCAGGCGTTCTGCAGAAAGGCCCCCAAATCCCTCTGTCACTCACCATGATACAGTGATTTAATTCTTTCCAGCACCACAGCCTGCCCACGCACAGAGAGCGGAGCCGTTATAACAGAGGGGCTTGGCTGAGTCCTGGATCCACTTCCTACTGTATCATAAACTTGTGCTCCCGCTCGAATTAGAAAGCTACCAAAACAAGTCATGTCGGAAGCTTTTACAGCAAGTCATGTCTACTAAATTGCAGCTGTTTAAGCATAAACCATGGTTTTATTTCTCTGTTTGCAATATGTTCAGGGACCACGTCTTTCGGTCCACCTGTGCAATCCAGTATGCAAGAGCTACTGAATATTAAAACGTTTTTTAAATTATTATTATTATTATTTTTTACTTTGCTGTAGAGCTACTAGGATTTTCTCAAATCGTTTGTCGGGGTGTTGATGTGGGATAGGAAAGAATGCATTTGGTGCGACCACCATTTGGGTATACATGCATATTTGTTTCATTTTAGTTTTGAAATTACTTTACGAATCACGTGAGGGAAGTTCAAATGTCCCAGCAGCAATATTCACACAGCATGTGTTAAAAAAATATATCGAAAAAAAAAAAAAAAGAGCTGCACTGAGAATGAATTCAATTAATTAATGATTAAGAATTCAAATGTGCTATGTAGCAAAGGGCAACCAAATTATCGGAAACACCTCTCAGCAGTGCAATTCTACGCCACTTTAAATGATAACCATACCAATTAACATATAGATAAATGACTATTACTGGCCAATAAATGTCAAGGGTCAATAAAATCTCCCTACGTCTACAAAAGTAAATGTAAAATGCTGAATTCTATATATTATCTTGTACTGGATAGTATTAGATGTGTCCCTAATGTTGTGGCCCACAGTGTGTGTGTGTGTGTGTGTGTGTGTGTGTGTGTGTGTGTGTGTGTGTGTGTGTGTGTGTGTGTGTGTGTGTGTGTGTGTGTGTGTGTGTGTGTGTGTGTGCGTGTGTGTGTGTATCACGTGAGAACACAAGTTGGCTCGAGTTCAGACCTCTGAGCTGCCACTGCGATGGCACAGCACGCACGAAAGCCAACACCTCGGTGTCATGTGATGATCACACCACGGTGCTGTTCTCACTCTGCTGTGAGAGGGTGCGCAGGGCTCACCTGAGTCTGAGTCATCTGGGCTGACCGAGCTGAGTAAGTCCTTCTCCCTCTCGTAGTCGACCTTGCACAGCAGCTGACCCTCCTTCAGGACAAACTCGTCACCTTTTCTCAGCTGCCGGTCGCACACGCAGCAGCAGAAGCAGCTCAGGTGGTAAACGCACTCCAAAGCTCGCATCACAAACTCTGTTGGGGCAATCTTCTCCATGCACCCGCTGCACTTGGTTGCAAACAACCTAAGAATGAAAAAATGATTTTTTTTTTCTTTGAAATGATGGGATATAAAATAGTATTTACCTCTGTCAAAATGTATATAATATATATATTTATTATGACCATACGTAGTTTTAGAAGGATTACACTGTTCTGTTTCCATGAAACCTTGTATACAGCAGAGGCACGTAGAGTAAGTCAAGGAAGGTCAATTAAATATTGTTGTCTATCTGGAAAAGTTCGAAGATTTTTTTTCCCACTGAACTCGCTAAAACATTTCTGATTTTAATAAATATGTAATTAAAATGTGTTAAAGCTCAATATCGTCACCAATTTTGTTTATAACCTTTAAGGACAGAAGCTTACAGGTCCGGTTCAGTGGCCTTAGTTTTACGTTTCTGCTTTTTGCTGTTGATGTGATTATATTGCCTTTATCAAGGTGTGATCTTCAAATCTCGGCCACGTTCCTCAGTCAGAAAAGGGTTGAGTGCCCACTCCGGGGTGCGGATGACATCCTGCTCCAAGTGGAGTTCAAAACACTAAAAAAAGGCTGGGTCGTTTTCCTAACCCACTTGCTGGGTAGCTGTGGAATTTGAGCAGATTGGGTTGCTTTTACCCAAGAATGGATTCATTATTTTGACTTTGTGAATTGGGTTGAAAATCGGATTTGGGTGAGCTGAAGACCTTAAACCGGTGATTATTTTGGACAGTTTTGTGTAATGAATTTGAAGTGAATTGAATTGATCATTTTTAGAAGATATTATTAGTGGCCCCGTGATTGGCTGGCAACCGGTTCAGGGTGTCTCCCGCCTACTGCCCGAAGACAGCTGGGATAGGCTCCAGCCCCCCACGTGACCCTTGTGAGGATAAAGCGGATCGGAAAATGAATGAATGAATTATTAGTGGCTGGATGGCTCATTGAGTAAAACCGACTTTGGACACAGGTTTTGGGGTTGAAATCTCGGGCAGGGCGGAAGGTCCATCCAGTGTAAAAACTGAGCTAAATCTGTGAGTGGCTTGCTGTGATGACCCCTGACAGGGGAAAGTTGCTTCTTATTCCTCCGTGTTCCTTGAAAATGTTGGTAATAAAATGTTTAATATTTTTTGCCACAACTGATTATTGATTATCTGGTAACCCATTTCATGGTAACTTGAACTCATCAATATGGATGGTTCTGGCCCCTTGTTAGTTCAAAACTTTGCCCCAACACGCTGGGTCAAATCCTCAACTCAATGTGCTGGGTATAAATAACCCAGCATTGGCACTGTCCCGTCTGGGTTCTGCACTGGCTTATCTATTTCACTCAATTTGGGTGACTTTTGAACCATCAGTGAGGTATAACCAGCTCTTGATCACGAGTGAGGGAAAAATAGAATGCATTGCGGTGATGTATGGATCTGTCATGATGAAGAGCTAAACTGAAAAGAAAAGCTCTTGTTGTAGCCGTTGATCTCCGTTCCCATCCTTATCTATGGTTTCATGCTCTGGGGGTGACCAAAACAACAAGATCACGGATACAAGAAGGTGAAATGAGGAAAAACCTTGTGATCGTTACAAAAGAGCTGGACAAAGTAGTTGCCTGCGAGACAGTTGGGGGGATGAATCTAAAATGTTTTTCATTTCTCGGTGCATTACGTACAAATCAAGCATATTGTCAATGTTGGGTGAAAACTTCAAAGTCCAGATGTGGTCAAAATAATGCTTCAGCACAAAGGATGGTGCGTTGCGTCACTCTGACCAAGAAAATTCATAAGGACGCAATTACCCTGGTAAATGTTAAAAAAGAAAAAGAGAGGCCAAAGAGCAAAGACCCCAGACCCCGAATGACTGCGATAAAGATTTTACTACGAGATACAGTAACACGTTTGCGTCATACCCCCCCAAAATCTATATGCATCAGATAGCGTATCAAGGTCCATGATTCAGTGCTGACTGCTGGGTGTCACATCTTATCTCATGGTCTGACATCATGGCTCTGTGCTGCAACTATCGCCTCAGTCGTCCAATATCTCCATCTTCTATTGTGGTCAGTCAGCGAGATGTTTGCATTGTTTTATTGGTGACTGTGAGTCATTTAATTTGCGCTCGCTTATTTAGAAGAAGCCACATAAAATGAAGCAAGGAGGCAGCGAGCGAGGTTGCTGTTGTCCAGCCGTAAAGCTGGATTTATTAGCGGCTTCTTTGTTTGACCTGGTCAGGAAGACAGCTGGCAGCCGCCTATCTATTTGTGGTGAACATTTATTTCATTGTGCGACGCAGGGAGGCAACGAGAGGACTATTTAACATCATCGACTGTTTCGGGGCAGGGATGAGCGATGGTGATGAATATAGTGTGTAAATATGAGAAGAGGGTTTTGTTATGTTAATTGTGTTCTTGGTGCTGATTGAGTGCTGATAGGGTGTGTGGGTGTGTGCGTGTTTGTCTGTGTTCACACGTGTGCAAGCAGCACCGGGCAGCTGTATGCATGCTGGAAAGAAGTGCGGTTTCTATTGTTAGCGATATGCGGCTCTGTCAAATTGATTGCATCACTTTTGCCCAACGGGACTAGCTCATCACACATCAACAATTGATGAGTTATTTTACAAGGTAGACCATAAATTATAATTCAAATAATCACCTGCATTTGTCCCAACTCTCAGTTGCAGAGAACTTGTATTTACGTGATTGACTTTTCACCTTTCTCACAGCATCAATCTAGATTTAGCAAGGGTTGAAAAATCCTATAATCTGTCCTTTATTACAATAAATTAAGAAGATTATTATTTCACAATGGAAAAATCTCAAGAATAAGACGTGAAAAAAAAATGCTGGCAAGTTTCTAAAACAAGCGTGCGTCTTGTTTAAGTGACCTGCCAATCTTCGAATCTTGTCTACTAGATAAAAGAAAAAAAAAAAAAACAGCATCATTTTTAATTTGGAAAAAAAAAAAAAACAGCATCATTTTTAATTTGGAAAAAAAAAAAAAACAGCATCATTTTTAATTTGGAAAAAAAAAAAAAACAGCATCATTTTTAATTTGGAAAAAAAAAAAAAACAGCATCATTTTTAATTTGGAAAAAAAAAAAAAACAGCATCATTTTTAATTTGGAAAAAAAAAAAAAACCAACACAATTTTTAATTTGGAAAAAAAAAATAAAAAATTCAACGAAGTGTAATCTCTTCCTGATAAAACAGAATATTCAGGGAGTAGTTTCACATTTTTAGAAGGATTAGTGTGTTATATGGTGGGATCAGTGGAAAGAAGTGATGAATCTCTCAGGACAAGTTCCGAGCTGTAATGTTTAGCTAATGATTGACGGCTTAGGCTAAGAAAGACAGCGCAAAGTTGAGGAAATGACTTGTTAGCGCGGTTTTGATACGTCCAGGATTCTGCATTCAGCTACGGCCGCTCTCTCAAATCTTCCCATCTAGATGAAAACATTCTCATTCAGCCCCTTTTCCTTTCTTCTCTTCCGTGCACCGAGTCTAATCTTGTAAGCCATTATTTTTCTATTTCCCCTCTCTGTCACTTTGCATTATTTTTGCTGCTGTAATTCCTATTCGTCCCTTCTGGAATCTTCCTGTCCTGCTTTGTCCTCGACTCTAATCCGGACTTTCTGCCTGTTTTCAGCCCCTGGTCCCCATTCTCTGCGGGGTTCAGATGGAATAGCCACGCATGACGCCCCTTCTATGGCAACCACACCTCCACAGGAAGGCAACGGCGACTTTTCGGATGGGCAGAGAGGGCCTTTGAGAATCTGGCAGCAGAAGTAAATCCTTCTCTAAGGAACAAGGAGAATTAGCAGGGAGCAGTGGACTAGGGATTTAACCCTACCCCTCTCCTTTGAAAGGCACAGTCAGGCCCACTCCTGCGGCTCGCCACAATCAAACAGAAGAGGAGTGGGGAGGTGGCAGTGGGGAGAGGAGAACACAAACTCCCTGAATGACACAAGCAGTGGATTGTGGAGGAGCCTAATCCCACTTTAATACCTTTCCAAGTTCAGCTGCTAAAGAATGCTCTTTAAAACAACACCGCTGTGTGAGCAGTGAAGGTTGACCAGGGGGAGGCACTCCATTCAACCTCCCCAACATTACCTGATTAGTGGTTTGAGGTCCGGGGCCACTGGGCCAACGTGCCCGCGGGAGGCAGCCGGGAGGACATAAAAAATGATTTCATGTCGACAAGAAGCAGAACTGTGTTGACGTTACAAGAGTCAAAATCTATACTGGGATGTCCCGCTTCAAAAAGAAGATATGAGCCCAAAGCAGCCTTTTTAAATGTATGGCTATGGCAATTCATATCAATTCGCTGATTGTTGTCATAATTTATTGTGTTCAATGAATACATGAACAGTAGTTCTGGCAGGACATTTGCTCTGACTCATCCAAACTCTTTATCAGTATATTGTGCAAGCAGTCATAAGTCCTGGTAATAATTTTGGGCACCCCGGTGAGGTTAAGCAGCTCACAAAATGGATGAACGGATGGCTGAAATGATGGAAGGATGGATTGATGGATGGATGTCTGGATGGATGCATGGATGATGGATGGATAATGTTGTTGCTGTACATGTTGATTTTACAGCAATACATGATGGGAAATTCTGTCCCAACACTACGGGGCTACCGTCTTCTAAAATAAAGACAAAGTAGATACAGTTGTATAGACCGAACTCCAATGTAACTGTTGTGACAAGCTTCGACACTGCGTCATATCCAACCTCTACGTGAACCACTGGCCGACCACGTGGACCCGCAGCTGCCTGCTGTGTAACACGACTCCAACTGTCGCGGCTCGGACCACCAGCATTAACAATTCCCATCCCGTCTTTCGCTTTCCTTCTCCCACACCTGAGCGCACGGATCAAGGGATGAGCGCCTCCTCTGTGGATCAATGGCTGCATCTCAAGCAGAGAGCTGTCAATATTTACCTAGGCCTCCCCAACGGACTCATAAATGAAAGAAAAAGGGCCTATCTCAGCACATAGCTCGCTCCCGGAGGACTCATCACGTCCTTCTTTTTAATCCTGTGTCCACATACCT